AAGCGGTTCGAGGCCGTAACCTGTGCCATGGTCGAAGAATTACCTAAAACAATATTAGACCTGCACATGAGCCTTTACCTGATTCCAAAACTGAAAAATCTGAAAATTAAATCTGAAAATCTTAAGATTAAAGATGAAAAGGTTCCATGTCCGGCCATTTCGATATCCAAATTCGACAATTCAAGCACAGACGCTACTGTGCTAGATGTTTTTTAACAATGCGTGACGTGCCTATCACGGCTGACCGCGACAGTCTCTCCAGGAGATTGTCGCATTCCTGAGATCCCAGGCCTAAGGCTACACGTAAATCCGTCTTCGTTCCCGCTAGATGCTCTCCACACGTGCCAACGACCACCGGTACAAATACTACTTCCTGTCCATACTGACTTCGCAGATCTGAAATAAGGTTTATCCCCAGGGGGTAAACCATCCGGGTCTGGTCCTCAGTGATGGTGGAGTTAACCGTGTACCGGTTGATTTTTAACCGGCGCTGAGCCTCTAGCTTAGGAACCTATCATCACTTCTTTAGGAACCTATCTTATTCTTCCTCCCGTGCCTTCTTGGGGCCCCCAGGATGAATTCCAACTCCGAGTGTAAAAATTTTAAGCCTCCTCCTCTTTTAGATAAAATTCAAGCCTCTTCTTCGCTTCGTAGCCCTACCTCCTCTGAAACATGAACTTAACATGGTCTGTTGCACTTTTAAGAAAAAAAAGAAATACCAAGTCTGCAGAACAGGCAGTCCGCAAAAGCCCAAACTACTGACTGTGTCCACCGTTACCGATGCTGCGAGTTGCTGCTCACGCGAAGCGAACGTCAAACGTCTTCGGAAGAGCGCAATTCCTCCAGCAAACCATGTGCCACAGACCTGACTTTCTTCCAGTGCAATATTGAATGGTGCCGGTTGTATTGACGCTGAAACAGAAATTTTTTTTTCGGAAGTGTTCCAAAAAAATACTGCCTAAAAATGGCAGTAAAAAAATTTGTGAACTTTTCTCTTCTTCAACTGATTCAAATTATCAGTGATAATAAATGGCAACGCGCACCAGACTAGCCGGTGCGATCATGCGTTTTGTGCAGTTCAGCCCATC